ACTTTTTTACTTATCGTGTTTACCATGCTTTGAGGTAAATGTTGGTCCTATGTGACTGTCCCAGGTGTTCTGTATGTATTTCGTGAAGAACAACAAAAACTGTGCAATATTGTTGGAGACCCAAGATACATTTATCCCTGCATCCCTGTGGGTGAGGGACACAGAGAAGAAAAGCAATATGGCCCTGAAGCTTTGCAAGGATCTTGCAGTGAGTTATGGAAGCTAAGCTATTGCTAGTTTCCTATGACACACCATAAATCATAGAACAGGTTTTAACTTTTTTATTTATTTTCTACACCTTTGTGTTTTGCCCTCCTGCAACTACAACCAAGGAGGAACAACTCCTGTGGAAAAAAAAATTGGCCACGTTATCTGCACAAAAGTCACCATGGACAATTCCAGAAGCCTTTAGTTCTAACTTCCACTCAAGGTCAAACACGAGATGCTCTCCCATTGTCCTTTTCTCTCTTTCTTCACAAACATCTGAGCCCATTGCCTTTGCTTTAATAGTCTCAGTATTTCAGGCTTACAAGCTTAACAATCAGCTTGTAACAATCAAACAACACGGTAAATCTTCTTGCATTTCCTGTTGAAAGCAATCCTATAAAGCAAACAAGACAAAATCAGTCAGAGCAGTTACAATTCTTAATTGACGGCTTAGTACTGAATGACAACACAAAGGGAATAATGGCTTATGCCACTGATCGAAGAAAAAAAAAATTAAGCAGGATTTATTTAGTTACACAAAGTAGAGTACATTAACATCAGAACAAATTATTTTAGCAAAATGCAGAAGGATGCCATTTTTATAATTTATTCGACAACAGCTCATATTTCTGTAATTTCAGGCATATAATATTTAGTAATTATAGGTAATTAATAATAATAATAATAATAATATAACAATTAGTAGTTAGTAGTTACAATTTAGTAGTAGTAGTAGTAGTAACTCACTGTTACTAATGTAATAATTATTGATTGTAATACATAAAAAATATGTGCACTTGTAATAAAATAACTGTAAATATTTTATTATAGTAAAATATACATATATGTAATAACATATAATTCATAAAATATGTATAAATTGTAATTATAATCAAATTGTATGTGATAATACTACTACTAATAGGCTAATATTTGCCCACTTGTTCATAAAGCACTGTTAAGCACTATAAAGGAGATAAAGTGGAGGTGCAATATGCTTCACACCCAAACACCCACATACACAAACAGTCAGATAATCTGTTTGTTGCAAACTGCCCCTCGGCTATAGAATACAGATGCACAGCTGCTATGAGACAATGTGACCCTCTTACAAAATCATTTTGATCTTGAACCCTCATTGACACTGGAATTGATTTTGGCATGCATTGCATTGTTGTTCCCCTTCATGGGAACTTCGAACTGCGTCCTCTAGGGGTCGCTATGGGGAACGCCTCGTCGTGACCCGTGTCTGAAGCATACATTGAAAAAACACCAACTCGTTGGCCGGCGACAGCCATGACGTAATTTCAATGTTACATTTTTCTGATGTGATTTGAAATTTGAAAAGGGAGAAAAAAGTTTGCCAAAATGTGGATTCGAACCCGGGTCGATCGTGTCAAAATGAGCAAGTCACACGTTTTACCATCTGCGCCACTGGAGCTGATGACTGTTGGCTGTCTTTTGTGTAATGTTCACTAGCCGAATCACACGTTGGTGGGCGGAGTTCGTGTAAATAGACTCTGCCAACAAGGCGGGCTATTTGCACTTAGTGTAAATAGACACTCCGAAAAAAATCAAGCCATTTCATGTACTCTTGGGGGCCCCCTGGTGGCCACGGGGCCCTAAGCAGCCCCTTAGTTCACTTATGCCTTGGGCCGGCTCTGGGCAAAAATCAAGCTTAAATGGATTAGACTCACTGTTAAAAAAAAAACCTTTTACAACTTAATGCTGCCTTGAAATTTAAGCTTAGTCAAATTGAAATATGAAGTTGGTGAAAACGTCTTAGGTTACTTATGTAACCATGGTTCCCTGAGTAGGGAACGAGACACTGCGTCCTCTAGGTTTCTTGCCATGCTGCGGACGCAAGCTTCAGACGAAGAAGTGAATGATGTGTAGCTCCCGGCGCTTATTTATACTATAGTCGCACCGGTAGTGACGTCATGGCTGTCGCCGGCCAACGAGTTGGTGTTTTTTCAATGTATGCTTCAGACACGGGTCACGACGAGGCGTTCCCCATAGCGACCCCTAGAGGACGCAGTGTCTCGTTCCCTACTCAGGGAACCATGGTTACATAAGTAACCTGAGACGTTTTCTCTGATTAGTTGTAGTGTTTCGGACATTTACACAGAGAGTTCACCCCTATTTTGAGCTTGAAGCTGTCATATGCAAATATTTCTTGGATTTTCTAGGTTTCTAGCATTTATTTATTTATTTTTATTTTTTTGGTGTAGGTCTGAATCAGCCTCCTCCACCCTGTTCTCTATCCCAGGTACATCGCAGTGCACCCAAACCACACTTAATGCTTGCAGCGCCAATGTCAGGAAGGAACTATTGATTCATAGTTCCCAGGGAAGAATCTGACACTTTTTGTATAGATCTTTGAGATACGAGTCAGAGCTGCAGTCTACCCCTCCCTATCCACTCCCTAGACAATGAGGAGAGACAGAAGTTATAGGAATCACCCAGGCCCTGTTAGTAGGACCTAGAGGGCACAGAGGGTGGCAGGATAATGACCAGAGCAGTCAGACTAATGACATGTGGGTTTGGTGGAGAGAACCGCTTAACCAGAAGGCTTCATCCAATCAAAAAAGGTGACGCGATAAAAAAAAAAAAAAAAATGTGTGTAAATTCAAAAGTTACCTCTTGTGCTTTCTGTATTTATCAACAGAGTGCAACCTCCCTTTCTCAGCGTTGTTGGTTCCAGAAGTATTTTATCCATTTATTTTCCCCATAGGGATTTTGAAAAAGTCTATAAGACACGAACCAAGCAACCAGCTACAAGGTGAACAACAATACAAACTTGGATTTGAAGCAAAATGTTATTGAAAATCTGACAAAAAGACAAAGGTGCAAGACTGTGTTCTTAACGGCTTTTATGAGGGAACGAACTAGAATCCCATGAACCATTGTGAATGACATAATCAAATAAAAAATTGAAGGAGAAATATAAAAAATATCCATTTAAAGTTATTGATTGTATATATAGAAACAATATATTTTATTGCAAAATATGCATATATAT